AAATAAAATTTATGTGGTAGAGAATGTAAAAAAATGAAATATATTCAAAGCACTGTAACTTCCATGCCTGAATTTTCATTAGAATAACGAAGTATATTGAAGGTACATTGACCTTGTTTGATGTAGGTGTGGTATAATTAGCAACAAATTGATCAACATGTGTCTGATCATAGAACATCAGCTGTCCAAATAGAGGTTTCCATGACTCTGCCCAGCTTTTTCCTTCGTCCAATAAATAGAGCATCAAGAGACACAAAGATCACACCATCAGTCTTTAATAAAAAAGATGAAGGATAAAATCATACAATGTATTTGAGTTTAATGATGCAAATGATGCAGTCAAAAAGGTGTTTGAGATAGCATTGCTAATGTTCTTTTTACTAAATTGTCATTGTTAAACAAGTAATACGAATATACTCACTATTGGACAAGTAGGACAGATATTTCCTTCATCAAGCTCAGGAATAACACAGCTCAACATGTTTAGTTTATGTCTGTAAATTCTGAAAAAAAACAATGACACAAAGAAAGCAATTATGCACTCTTAAACAAATGGCATAAACAAAATACAGTGCAAGACAGTAATACTTGAGGAAAAATCCTTTCCCATCATAAACTTTAGCATTTTGATTTCCTCCAAATTCAATGCATCTCTTAAGATGAGATTCTTAGGCTATAAAATTGACTGCAACTTTCCCAGCAATTCATACATAGTACAGCAGTGCAATAAATCAGTGACCTACATGCAGTTACCTATATTCTTCAAAAGCATCTATAATGACAGCATACATTTTTGATGTTGCATAAGAAGAGAATATGTGGTTATGATTAAACTCTTCAAATGACTGACAAATGCTTTTTATTGATGCCTGGCATTCCATCATCACAGAATGAATCAATTCAAAAAATTCAATTGTAAATGCAATTCTTGGTTTGTAGGTGTTCCACCCCAAAGGTCAAATTGCAGAAGTTGAAGAAACTTTGGAGAGCATGAGCAAAACTGTACCTCAACAAAACAAAATGTGCCTAAAAATTGAAAAGATCCAAAATTATAATTGTGTTGAACCATCCCAGCTAAAATGAAAAAACTTTTGCAGCACATTTTACATATAATATACCTTTAACATCAACAACAGAAACACTTCTTTTGTGACGAGCTTTTTGGCATGAACAATCATACATTAGCATGTTCATGAGTTTATATGGCCGAAACATGCCATCCTACAAAGCAATGAATAACTTCGTAGAAATTTGTTGTAATCAATCCCCTTTCTTGCATTCATAAAAAATATTAGATTAGTGCTTCATAGCATGTTTCAAAATGTAAACTCTTATTTTATTTTTGCATTTTTTGTTACAAGTGTTGAGAGAGTTGACTGTAAACACTTTTATAATATCTAGCTCATAAAGGTTACCATTAAATATTTCAACATGATGACAAATATTTACGGTTGTTCATCTTTAACATACAGTTCTCACAATACTTTGCCATTGGACCACAATCGCTGCACCTAAACTTTGCTTCATTATCACAATGAATACACTTCAGATTGCTCCAATTTTTGCCAGCAAACTGAAATGTATTCTTTGTAATTGAATGTCGCAAATTTTCCCATACTTTTTGTTTTCTTTAAACTTTCTGGTAATAAGAAGATGATTCTTCACAATCATGGTGAACATCACTTTTAAGATCACTGTTATCTTGTTCCATTTCCAGTTCATGGCCTTCCAATGCACCACAATTATCAGGACTGTTATTAGAACAGCTTCCTCTATGATCCTCAGGAACCAATTCTGACAAATCCACCTCCTCTCTCTCAACATGGCCATCCTCATGATATAAAATTATCATAAAAATCTATAAAATGATGATAAATGTTGAAAAGTCTAACAGCTATAAGGCCGTTATTTGGTGTACCTTGGCATCTTTTAAAATTACCAGCAAGAAAATCACAAATCAGAAAATATTATCGATATTACCAATGACACAATAACATAAGTTAAACGACCAAAGTACAACGTATGTATCTCCCACAACTACCAGCCGACGTTTTGTACCCGTACTTTACCGGCTTTTAGCCACGTCTCATAAGACGAATGGACGATTTGTTTGATGTTTGTAACATGTTTGTAAATGTAGATCGTCCAGGTTGGTATAGTCCTGAGAAGGACTGTTTTTGTTGTTGTTGACTGACGTTTCCACAACCTTAGCGGTAGTCATCTTCAGAGTGATTTGCTTGTTGGTAAAACGAAAGGGGTTTTTCTTCCGGTATATTGTAGGAGCCTTTTTCCTAGGGGTAAGGTTACATATCTCACGTGACCGGAGACGTAAACATTTAAATTATTCCACCGAATCGACTAGCACGCCGCACTTGAGATATCATGTAGTTGGTTGTGTCTTGTAATCTTTCTGAATTTGTGAAGGTATGTTGATTTTAAACTTTGCCTGTCGTTGTTATATTGTATTTTGATTTTGTGATTTAATGCTTCATTTCCATTTATCGATTATTTTGTTTTTCTATGAAATATTCTACTTTCGCGTTATGTACGTATGTATATGTTTTATAAATATAAGTTTGTTGATTTTGGTGAGATTTGGAACTAGCTCGAATCAAGATTGGAAAATTAACTTGTTAACTTTCATATATCTTTATATAATAATAAAAAGAAATAAATTTCTACTATATAATAGTAATGTTCTACATCGATACACATCATGTGCATGGTCACGAGGTAGTAGAGGAAATAAGATATTCATGGATAATTTCGTAAAAGCACTATTGCTAAAGCGCATTTAATATACACGACAAGGTTTTTTTAAAATAGACATGTTTCGACATCTCATGATTCCATCTTCAGCATGAGTGAAATAATAAGTGATACACGGTTTATATAAAAGTAATATGATACATAAATTACAACAATAAAAGGAAATAAGGTAAATTAATGGGGGAGCGTCCGAGCGTATTATAAACTAAATATTGTATTGAATTTAAAAACTTGAACATTAAAGGACACATGCGACATAAAATTTGGATTGTTATTTTTGTACTTTACATAAAGGTATAGCTCCAACTAATAGTTCACCAAAGTTTGAGACTCAAAGGATAATTATTTTTGAAGATATGGAGGTTTAAAGTTGATGCTTTACTGATAACGTGTTGAAAATGCCCGACGAGCTAGCGACAGCTACCGATGTCTTTGTGACTTAATAGTTGACATTAGCTAAACGCGGTCAATTGCGCGCTTCGTTCAAAATATATTGGTAACTTCTTTGCCTGCATTAACAACACGACAATTTAGCACTGAAAATATGGTTTATTGTGCCGCATTTAATTATAAAAACGGTTCTTCTAAGAACCATCAAACGCAGCAAAAGGTTTCTTTTTTCGTTTCCCGAAAACAAGCGCATGTGAGATATTTGGATTGAAAAAATCCGACGCAAAAATTTGAAGCCAACAAAGAGCTCAAAATTGTGCTCGCAACATTTCGAGAGTTCGTGCTTCGTGCAAAATTTTGAAGCGATGCAATCAGTAGGATGGACAGCAGGACGGCTTCGCCTTAAGAAGGATGCTGTACCCACGATTTTTTAATACTCTGTGGAACCCACAAGTGTAGCATGTAAAAGGAAGCAGCCAACAAATGTTAGAACTGCATTTGAAAAGAGACGAAGGCAAGAGGTGATTATTATAGTTATAGGTAGCAATATTTGTTTACATTTAGCAAAAACTAAGCTATATAGCATTACCAAATAAATTTTTTCGGGAAATTTCTACTCCCGCCGGGCGGGAGTAGCGGGACCCCTAGCTACGCCACTGGAAACATATTGTACAAAAAGAATGATAGCACAACGCTATAACCAACAACTACTTGTCTGGTTTACAAGGAAGAGGAGTGGAAGGTTAATTTCTCAAATGTTGTTAGATAAGGTCGTTATTGTTTGTAGTTGTTGGTTATAGCGTTGTGCTATCATTCTTTTTGTTTAATAACATTCCAACTATTTAACCTTGTAAACATATTGTCGACAATGAACCTCATATTTTGTAAAAGCCAAATGAACATATAATACAATGTGGGCGCTGTGCTATATACTTTGTGTTGATTTGTGTTATGAAATTTTATACAAGAAACATATTGTACTTATAGCGATTATTATGTCAAGGCTTTTGCCGCTGACCAGGAAGTTAATAGGCACGTCCCGATCATCGCCCGTTATATCAAACCCCGCTTTACTGGCTAAACCATCATAAACACAAAATGTAAACGACGACAAATCTTGTGTGTTTACGAAAAGAAATCAAGTTCATACAGCACACAACCAGCAGCTGTGCGGCTCTTGGGAGAAGGGAATGTTAGCATGGATAGTCGCGATTATGAAACGGCTATTGAACATTACAAAAAATGTTTGAATTCTACCGACGAAAATAGCTTGAAAACGATTACATATTTTGGCCTTGGTAATGCTTACACGCTCTCTGATGAAGGGAAGGAAGCAATAAACTGCTTTAATGATTGCTTAAATCTTTCTTCTCAACTGGAAATTAAATATTTTCAACATCAAATATACCTCGGGTTGGGGAGTATCCATTCTACCACTAAAAGATTGGAGGACGGTATAAAGAAAGAAGAAATGGTCTGTCTTTGTCATGTTGCATTGGGAGGATTGAATAAATTACTTGAAAATTATGAAAAATCCTTGGAGCATTATAGAAAAGGATTCTCTCTGATTGAAAATCAACAGCTAGAAGCAGAAATGCAACATTTACAACTGGAGTGCGAATTTGAAGGGAGTGTATTCCGGTGAAAGGAAGACAGAAATAGATGGGCATTTTGTGAGCAGTCGAGACAGGTGGTTTAGGGGCAAAGGTGTTGTTAAGGAAGCGACCTGTGATTTGGTAAATTATACGTGAAGGAAAACCGTTTTTGGTGAGTGACTTTCTGGTAAATTCGAGTTGTGTATGAAAATTTTCGTAAGTAGAACAAAGATTGAAGATGCGGTGAAGTAAGCAGGAGACTAGTGAAAGTTTGTAAGTAAGTGGGATGAAGCTGTGGAAGTTGGTGAAGAAGTTGGTGACTTCCGTCTACCGCAAACCTACTTTCACTGGCCTCTAATCTATTTCTATGGCTCTAATCAGAACTTTATGTTGGGCATTAATTTTTATCACACGAAGTCGAAGGACTGTCTTTTGGATTGGCTTCATCAGACATAATAATCAAGAGGTCCAAAACTTCTTCTTTGGGGGGCACAATTGCGCATACTGGTTTGTCAGAAGCCAATGCTGCCAATAACCTTCTGCACGAGTTTGGATAACTAGTGATAAATCCTTGTTTCTCTAACCATTCAAGTAGAGTCCTAAGCCCCTTCGGAGATATCTATAAATACGAGAAATTGTAGTATAAAATCAGCTCTGGAGTGGTCATACAAAATTTTGTACTCGTGGGGTAATAAATTCTTCTTACTTCAAATTTTAATTTTTGAAATTCGTCCCAACTTAGCTTTGAATCACTGTACTTCTTCAATAAAGCTCGCACATTTCTCCTGTTGATGAAATTGCGCATTTCATACCTAGTATTGGACAAAAGAAAACAGGTTGTTATTTTTATAACTATAAGCTGTGTACAAAAACAAAGTGAGAGAAGTCACCATCATGCATGAAATGCTTTCTGATACGTAGATGAACACTCGTATCTACTAATTAGCAGACCTGTATATACTATATATTACAGATAAACTTCAAAATACTTATCTTCCATCTAGCAATCCAGTATCAGACTCTCTTAAATTATTTGGTAAGAAAGTTTTCTGTATTCCAAGAGTTGTTCCATCCATCACCACCTTTTGGGGAATTCTTCCACATAATTCACAAAAAAACCCATTGTCAAAATCAATATCAAGCAACCTTAATAAGAGAAAATTCAATAACTTAATAAAACAAGCGATCACTATCTCAATGGAATATTCATATTTTGCAGCTGAAAATGAAATGATGCTTACCGTATCATGGCAATGATAGCGAGACGAAACTTGGCGTAAGTTATTTCCTTTGGGAAATTAAAATTACCCGAAGACACTTGCCTTTGTACATACGCAACATAATATTTGTACATAGGTAAACTGAACAAGAATGAAAAAGAAAAAACATTCAAAAGAGATAGGGCGAGAAAATTAAATAATGGACAAACGTAGCTACTAATGCTTCGGCAAATTTTCATTAAAAATTACCTCGACGTTATGAAAAGCCGAATGTAATCTTTTAGAACGGCATGAGATATTGCATATGATCCAAACCATACAATCCTGTTTTCAATGCCATCATAATGCTTTTTCGTAGCACAAGAGGAGCAAGGTCTACAATACACTAAATAATTTATTTAAGTCAAATAATTATGAAGCAAAGCGTAACCTATAACAAATCAGAACTTACCCTTCACATCATGGATTGAATAAAAGTACGCAACTGAACACACGTCTACGTACAACCATTCATCTTGAATAGAACGTTTATCCCACTCTGCACCACAAGAACAAATACCACTTTCAGATGGCGCCAAAATTTTATGACCATTTTTTTCAGGAAGATCAGTAAAATCGCTTGCATCATTCTCATTGCCTAAAATAATTAAATTGTAATATTTACAAAATGCTAGAAAGTGCTAAATACCATACCGATAAAGGAAATAGTATATGTAAAGCTAAAAGGATGTTCACCATTGCAGATTATCTTGCATACCTGTTTCAAATAAAGAAACCTTTTCTTTGCTAAGTGTAGCCAATTCAAAATAGTCTCGCATCTCTGGTGTAATTCCAAAGGAACACTTAAAAAGTGCCAATGGAGAATCCATTTCATCCTCTTCAACGATTTGCATGGCTTTTGCAAGGGTTGTCACATGAATGCAATGATATGACGAACAGCTGCAACATTTTAACTCGGGGGCGGCGTTACTTTGAATACACAAAAGTACAAACCCCCATGGACTATTCACTGGTTTTACAGCAATCCACTGAACCTCTGCACACTGCACTAAACAAGTCCTAAAATATGTAAAATCATTTATCTTAAGGTTGTATTATGTGTGTGTATGTATGTGTGTGTATGTGTATGCAGATTAATAATTATGATTATGACTTCACAAAATCCTTAGAAAGTGCTTAATATATATATCAGGCACGTAAAGCAAATGGTGAATATGACTTTACTATTTTTATCATACATTTAGTTTATACTACTTAATGTATGTACTGTAGGTATGTGGCTATGTATGTATTTGAGTATGATGTGTATACCTCAATAGTCATAAATAAATTCAATTTGCCCTGTTGGCTATCACCCTAATACCTTTATAGAAGCTCCTGAACTTAGGCACAGGATGTATGGTAACAAATTGTGGGGTATTAGAAGGTTGAGAAAATATACGTGTATTTGTACAAAAAAGTTATTTTCACATAAAAAAATATACTTCTTCAGGTCGCATCTCATGGTAGGAATGATCACTGAAAACAGACTGCATCATGGATGTGGATTCTGCATTCATAAAAGAAATTGGATGAGATAAATATGTTGTGTAAATAATCATTCACAAGTTTTAACAATATTTTTGCTTGTAAGCTATGCTAGTTAACGTCCACATGTAATAAGAACAATGTCAAACAAGGGTCTTGTAAAAACACAGAAGGATGACTTCACAAGGGTTTGAAATGTACAATAAACTGATATTTAAGGATGAAGACATTTCCTCCCATACAACATGAAGAACTTTACATTGAAAAAATAAGCCAAATACGAATTTGAGACATTCACTTCATGCAATGTCAGATTAATACAAATAGTATGTAAGTGTAAGTCAAAATTTGGTGAAGCTGTTCAGACACCTTATATCCTGAAAGAGTAACACACAACACTTACTTTTTTCAATAAAATCTTTGGCTTCAATACCAAACTTTCTATCATACACAACCAGATATTTTTCCATTGCTAATATGTGTATGCAACTGGGATATGGTATATCTGACAAGTACAAAATGTTGTTTGGCCTGTTTTAATAATTTCATTTCAGTAACATCTATTTTACATACCTTTTTGAGGATCTAATTGTATATTATTAGGTAGGGCTTCAACAAATTGCTTTCTATTTGCATCACATGAGCAGCACAATATCCAACCGTAGCCATCAAGCAATAGGTGGGGATATCGATGTACAAATACAAATGAATTATGCTGAAGAAAAAAATACATGCAGATTATAGCACCAAAAAAAGTGTATTGAGTAATATCATTTAGTTGGGTGTATACCCAACATTGAAATTATGGAAATAAAATTTGACATCACCATAATTGTTCTTTTGTTTGCATTATAATCATGAACAACAAAGGATTGCTGACGTGATACATTTGATGCAAAGTCAAACTGTAACAATAGCCCAGTATAGTGGCCAGTGGGTGACAAATGACTCTGAAAGAGCAAGTATACAGTAATTATTAATGTTCACTGTTTCAAAAATATCTATTGTAATATATTTTTATGTTTGTTGAGCACATTTCTACGAGATGTTAATAAAGTTTTGCTACACAGTGTCTCATGCATAAGCAATCAACAAGCATATTGTCAATTTATAACACATTAAAAACATGACTGGTGGTAAACAGTATAAAGCATAACTGTATAAGTGAGAACTACTTGACTATGTTGACATGGTTGTTTAGATTCCTCTGTAATAATAGAGATAGATTGCTTGGTAAAAATATCTTCAGAATCCTACAAATAAAGACCATTATTTAATTTAAAATGTGTACAGACTTTTAATAAGTGTTGAAATAATGCATGCCTTCTTTAAATTACTTCAAAATTTTTTAGTTTTTTCTAGTGAAAGCAGTCCTACATGTAACCATTTCCAATGACTTCTCATGAGAAACAATATCAATATGTACATTACAAACCTGTGTTTTGGTGGTTAACTCTTGGTGCTTGTCATAATTTTCAGCAATATCTTCACTTTGTTCATTCTACATATAAATGAAAAAACCCCATAAACATAGAGTATTTTTATATCTACATAGTTTTACAATATATGTAAACTTACTAAATCCCCAAATTCAATTTCTTGTTCAAAAAATTGAGATTCATATGACACACTGCTATTCTATTAACATATATGACATTGTGATTAAAGGATGTAGAGAATCCAGACTTGAAATTGAAAAATGTGCTCAGAATAATCGTTTTTCCTTACACAACATTGTGGGCATAAATAAATTTGTACACATACTTTTGTTAATATAACTGTAGTAATAAATATAAATTAATATGAAATTGTGCAACCAGAAACAATAAAAAGAACACTTTAAAAATTCTTACCGCATCATCTTTTTGTGTGTTTCCTTTCCTCTCCACGTTATTGTAAATAAAGTCATTTGAGCGTCTGAATTTCTTCCTGAATTGATACATTTTGCAAGTGTACCCAAAAAATAATACCCCGATTTATAAAACCCAGTACTGCACGTGTTCTTGGATTGACAAAGTTAGCCTAGAATTATTCTAAGTACCATTCTCCCAGCCAGACTTCTCCGATAGATATTCTAAGTACCATTCTCCCAGCCAGACTTCTCCGACACAAAGCAATAGCCTTTGTGCTGCAGCCTTCCCACATATATCCATTAAATTTGTTTTCCGCCCTTCTCAACGTATCTCTTCTTTCTTCCCCTTTAAGGACAAAATTCCCAAACCCCTGAGATCTGGTGTAGTCTATTTATTCAAGTGTCGAAGCTGCAACGCGTCGTATGTGGGTCAAACCACACGTCATCTACACACCAGATTTTCGGAGCACTTGGGAATATACCCCCTTACAGGCAACCAAGTTTCCCACCCTTCATCATCAAGCATTCTTGCTCACATTAACGCAACTGGACACACCCCCAACTTAGACGACTTTAAAATAATCTCCTCTTCCAACGATACATATGAACTCTCCATTCATGAAAGCCTTCTAATCAATAAACTTGAGAATGAAACGACTTTTATTATGACTTTTAACGACTTTTAATACGACTTTTTATATGAGTTTTAAAGAGTATCCTGAGCATGTAAGGAGATGTGATAATCCACAAACAAGATACGAAAGTTGCCCAAAGACAAAACGTTTGTCTATGTTCATACCGCTGAATGCTGTGAAACCAGATGGTATATGTACTGCTCTTGTATTTTATTTTAGCACTTTAATTTCTTTACATACACAGGTATTTAGTAATTTTGCTGTAAATTATTTTGCAGATAGCGGATATCGCAAGGAATTGTTTGGATTTACATGCTTTAACTCTTGCATTGGAGGAATGAACAGACGACCAACACATTTATCCTTTCGACTGGAATGTGGGTACGTTATTTAATTACTTTTATTTTATAGTATGCATTTGAGGGATTATAAAGAATGAGATGGTACATACATGTATTGTATGTGATATAAATGTGTGTCAAAGGCTCATACTTTCTTCTCTGTCAGTTCTAGGGTTGAAGGTATAGCTGTGGTTGAGCTACGTATATGTGCTTCACCTGGAAGGGATAGCATTGAAAAGGACTGGGATCTAATTCAAAGCTAAACAAACACCAGGACAACGAACCCAGTTCAACGACAGACGTGACATCATCCACAACAACATTATACCCCCTTCGACAGAGTGTACTCATGTCAACTGTTAAAGACTCCAGCTCACCCAAACCTTTCCAGTTCTCTATCACGCAAGGACAACAACCTCGTAAACGACGTAAGTTTTACGTATTAAAGAATTCATAGAAAGTTTCTTCCTATGTGCTATGATATGAGATATGTATTTTTTTGAAAATTTTGTATTCATGAATAAGCACGTGATTTTTAATCGACATTATTTTCCAGTAAATCCTTATGTGAGCGATGGATTTGTTGTGAAGAGAGGGAAGTTGAGCCAAGAATGTGCGCCTGATTCATCTTCAAGTTCCGATGAGACGTTTTATCTGAAGGTGAGAACAATTGGAGATTATGTGAAATGATTATCACCACGAAGGTATTTTACTTTTTTATAAAAAGGTACATGGTCAGAGGCGTTATGAGTTATTAACGAAAATCAACGAGGTTCTAGATGGTGTAAAGGCACCTGATCAAATACCAAACAAGTAATTTTACGCAAGAGATTTTTCACCTTCAGACATTATTGTCATTATTTTTAATGTTATGTGCATTCACTAATCGTTTTAAGATATGCAAGTGATGAAAGAAGTCCTCCAGAATTCACTAAAATTCAGCTATCTATAGCTTAATTTAAGTAAATTCTGGAGGACTTCTTCATATTCAGATAATGATCTCTTGGCAGTTTGGGCTGAATTTTACTGAATTCTTAGTGAATTTTAATGATAAGATACAGGATGTGCATTCTGAAACTCAGGTATATTTTCACCATGACTTTTCAACATCATTTCAATTCATGACATTTCAATTCCTCGGTACATATTTTTGTCTTTTTTGATTTGATATATTTCGTTTGATAACAGCAACTTCAGCACATTCGTAATTTTGACTTCACTAACTTCTTTTGCTTTATTGTTATGTGTATTGTTATTTTAACGAATTGTCACAACTGAGTCGTACATCATCCAAGTTTAGTGCGGAAATATTGCTTTAGTGTAAATAATTCCGCACTAAATGGTTATGGAAATGGAAATGTTAAATGGTTAGTTGCATTTTATTTATCAAAACGAGATTTATGTTGCTTAATGGCTTCAGCTTTGCTGATTTTTGATTTGTGGCGAGTCAATGGGACAGGTATTTCTTTCACTCCAGCGACATCAAGAGTTTTGGACAGTGTTGGATTAATTCGTCTGCAGTACAAAACTTCTTTCATCAAGTCCTTAACATATCCTGAAAAGCAAATCATTTATTTATGTTGGCTTTGCATTTCACTTTGAGAAAAGGTAATTTTATTTTTCTGTGCTAACCATAAGTGCTGTAAACTTTCACTGGTTTGATGACCCCTTGTCCTTCCTTTGACATTGAGTAAGCCACTCACCAAATCAATGCCTCTTCTGTTTCCCCACCATTTTTCGTTTTCTGAGCTTTATTTCCATTCTCATTGAAATGAAGAACGGCAATAAACAATCAACAAATGAATGTCAAGTTTATGTTTACAACTATTGCAACTTATTGCTTTTGCAAGGATGACTTTTTTAAGTAATCATACACAAGTCATAATTATATTACCTTGCTTCCATTGATCTGTAGAAAAAATGAGTATGTTTTGGTGCAAAAAGAATCACCACTCGGTGGAAACCTTCGATGAATGAAGTCTGCTTCTGATAACTGAGTTTTCCAATATCTCTCATGAGATACTTGGACTCAACAATCAAAGACAGCTCAACATAAGCTTTTGAACCTAAGATCAGAAGTTAGTTAACAAAAAAAAAATACAAAAATGTTGATGTTACTTTGAAATTTATTCGCTTACAATACCTTTTTTTATCCACATTCTAGGCTCTCTAACATATCATGTTCACATTTTGGGAATACATCACTGTGTCCCTCGTGGATGTCACATATATGGTTGAGAACTGACAACCACTTTGTCTTGACAAGCTCTTCATCACCATTGCTGGAAGCAGCACACCAGTATACATGGTTGGAAATTGATTGGGCCCAATCTGACAATAATTTGCAACCACTTTTTCTTGATGCTGCCAAAATTTTCTTTTTGATTCCTGTTGGATTTTGATTATTGATGAAATGTGTAAAGGGTTGGTTTGTTATTACAATCTATACCTTTGCTACATGCCATACATCAAAGTAGTGCTCGATTTTTGGTCGTTGTTTTGACATGCAGGATTTGATTTGAGCATGTCTGTCTGTGGTCATTGACTTCACCTTCATCCCACTTTCATCAAACTTTGCCAGACATCTTTTTAATCCCTCAAGTTCCATTGCTCCAGAGTTGGACACTTCATTGGACTGTTTAACATAATTATGTAAGTATTCTAACCATGTTTTATGTACAGTTGTTGAAGAATTGTTACCTGAACAAGTTGTGTGTCTAAAATATTGTTAGATTCCAAATCCATGCAGCTATATGACCCATACTTGGCACAATATCCAGGCGAATCACATCTTCCATCTCTTCCAAGGTTAATGTTCCTTTCTCTGATTGATTCTAGAAAAGGATTTTAGTTCATATGCCAAACATTTGAAACACTGGGTATCAAATACGCTGTTTGAATATAGCTATATGTACGCTATGACAGAAATTGTATGCCTGAGTGACGAAGGAATTGAAGAACTTTGCTGGGCTACTACCACTAAACAAAATGCTGGCAGCAAAGACCAAATTACCCAAAGGCATTTGCCCATGCAGAGGTTGGCTATTCCATTCTCGAACATAGCCACAATGACATTTTGCTAGTACGTTAACCATACTACCAGTCGTTTTGGTCACAGTGGAACAGCTTTCACCACAACATGGGCATTGACTCACTAACTGTCTCTGGCAACTATCAAACACTATGTATTTTCTCTCATTTTGAGCATCTTTCCTATAACATAAAAATGGACAGCAGGACGGCTTCGCCTTAAGAAGGATGCTGTACCACGATTTTTGAATACTCTTTGGAACCCACAAGTGTAGCATCTAAAAGGAAGCAGCCAACAAATGTTAGAACTGCATTTGAGAAGAGACGAAGGCAAGAGGTGAATATTATAGTTATAGTTAGCAATATTTGTTTACATTTATCAAAAACTAAGCTATATAGCATTACCAAATTGAAGACAATTTTATAATTTTATGTTATTGACGACGTTCTTGCAGAACATGACGACTTTCTAGTCGATAACGACCACGATGTGTCGACATCGGCTCGAAATGTTTGTGCATTTTACCTCAAAGGAAGTTTGTCTAAGATAAAAGATTTCAAAATATATGTAGACAGCGAAACACAAACATATACAGTGATATATGTATATGTTTGCATTTAAAACATATTCTGTTTTAAATGTTTGTATCTTGTGCTCTATTTTATCCTTCACTGAACGTGTCACGTGGTTAGCCCGCTGTAACTGGAAACTCCTTGGTCGAGCAATATGAAAAAGTATCCGTTCTTGCAAATACACGATATTTCTACCCCCAGAGCACCCCATCCCACTCAACTCCATATGACAGTAATAGTTAATTTTACAAGCGATAAGCAGTACATATCATTATGGATATTATTACATTTTTTATTTCTGAGTTTGTTATTTGTGAATCAAATCATTCGAAAGTTCATGGAAACGATACTTTTTTAACTTTTGTTAAATAAGCTTTGGTTTGGTTTGAGTCTTGAGGAGTCCATCGAAAGAGGTCGCTTGCATCATCAACTGTTTCCTAATACAGTTTACATTGAGAAAAATTATATTCATGACAATATTCTAGAGCCTGTTTTCATTGGCTTGAAGGATCTGGGACACAAAATGAAAGGATCACGATGATTCTCTGTTGTTCAAGGAATTTATAGAACTAAATCGGGATACCTATTCGCAAAATATGATCCAAGGAAAGGTGCTGTTGCTGTTGTTTTGCCGTAACAGTAACGTTGATTAATTAAAGACGGATGAGTGAATAAAGGAGAGATATTTAAAGAAGCCCAAATCTTAGAGAATCTTTTGCGTGATGTCTTTGATTGAGACTGTGAGACTCGATGCATTCTGTAATAATAATATAAATATCAATTTCTACATAGTAGTATTAATAATATTTAGTTTTTTCACGAAATTTGTTTTATAAATGTCATTTTATAGTAATTTTAGTTAACGTGTTGACGTCAAGAAAAACATACATTAAACTGCTCTAAATAATAATAACACATATTTGCTTGTAATTTTTCAAATAGCATTCTTCGTGTTCTAGTTAATTTGTTTACTTAGTGATGCTTCACTATGTTAGACACAAAAATGTCGACAAAAAAGTAGACAAGTAGACAAAAACTTAGATAAGTGGGCTATAATGCTACTGTAAATATTGTGCTGACAGTCGGCGGTTGGCAGGACAATGGGTGCAACATTTTATTAATAATCTTGAAGAGATATATCAAGAAACCAAAGATGAATTCCTAAAGGTTATCATTATGCATTTTCACACTAAAGATATCGATATCAAACATGCTTTGGAAAGGACTCGAATAAGCGATTTGTATTGCTCCACATGACGTCTAAATTTCATAAATCAATTGGTTACACTATGCTATGACTATGGTGACAAATCCAAATGATATTGTATTTGGTTGTGATTTACATTTGTCAATAATCAAATCTTCAGTAAGGTATCAATAATCAAAATAAAATCAAATCTTGGCATTTAAGCCACCAGAAGGAAAACCTCGCCCTTTTTTACAGGGAAACTTTTATTGTATGATGTGTAATTTTGTTACTTTGCCAAAAGACTACATTGATACTCAAAACAATGAATTTAAAATATCAAACATGGAAAATAATTTTTCCATTAAAAATCTATTAATCTTCTGGGTTAAAAAGAGACTTATATCATTACTCTAGAGTATTATCTCCCTTTAGAATTGGTGGCATGGACGTGGAACGATTTAGGCCTTCCTACGGTGGCGAAGACTGGGACCCAGTAGTTAAAATTTTGGCAGACGGCCTGAAAATCGAACGCTTGAAGGTGCTTACATTTTTTCATTTTTATCACACAAAAAAAGGAATGTGGAAAGATTCGGAACAAAAGTTGCCATGAAAATTTATTGTCGCATGGAGATTGAAAATTTTTTAAAGGGACAACATATAATGCCGGCTGTAATTTGAATAATAAAATTAAAAAAAATACTGACGCAAAAGATGCGCACTTAAGAACTGGGTACAAGTAGGGGACACATTTTTCGCTGAGTATCGCTTCTGTATGTATCTATTCTGTGGTATTACTAAAGAAAATGAATTTGACCGAGATTTTAAAGTGATATGCGATCCTTTTTTCTTCTTCATTGGCGCAAATGACGCAAAGCCTCTCCTATAAATTTGTCAACACTATAATTTCAATGCTGTTACTATGTTAATCCCACAGATGATTAAATTTTTGTAAATATCGTTGATGCAAGCACAAAGCTTTTATGTGCAAGTATAGAATTTTATTTACTGCTCTATGGGGATTAATTACTTCTAATTGATGAATCATGCAAATTCTAAAACTTGGCTGATTTCAAAGATGAGCAGTTTTTAAGACACTTTGTAGGGCCACAATGTACCATTGACGACACACCACCTAGTAACTAACCACTCAGAACACACCACGTTTACGACACACCTAGTATCTGACCAATCAGAACACACCACGTTTACGACACACCTAGTCAATGACCAATCAGAACACAATAGCTTGTGAAACTTCAGCTATGTACTCTAAGACTACGAAAGAGCATGCCATTTGAACGTGAAAGTGAACGTGAACGCAAAAGTCGGTAGTCGCACCAAGAATAATGGACAAAGTCGAAATTAGTCGTTTGTGAAATATCTCTTGGAGTTCTTTGAAAACATTTTAAGGTAAATGTGTTGTTTCTTGTTCTGAGTATAAGTGTACTACACTGAGTACGGATTGAATTGAGACGCGCATGTGATGTTCGTTTAAGCAAAGTGCGGTATGGCTTTTCCTTAAAGTGTTCGTCCTTGTAACTTTTCTTCTGTCTTTGATTTTAGATATGAACATTCTTCTGTTAAAGGACAAATGTCCATCAGTTGAGATTAAGAAACAACAAACTAATGTTGATGTATTCACTCGGCAATTAAAGAAAATGGTTGTTGTTCACAGCGATGGAAGAGAATTGTGGCTGTTGTAGAACATTTTCTCGAGAATGAACAATATACATTGATGGTGACCTTTGAACAATGATCAAGAATGAACAAGATACTTTAATGAAGCCCTCTGAACAACGATGAAGAATGAACAATATACTTTAATGAAGTCCTCTGAACAACGATAAAGAATGAACAATATACTTTAATGAAGTCCTCTGAACAACGATCAAGAATGAACAATATACTTTAATGAAGTCCTCTGAACAACGATCAAGAATGAACAATATACTTTAATGAGGTCTTCTGAACAGTGATCAAGAATAGGCAGTATACTTTAATGAAGTCTTCCGAACAATGATCAAGAATGAACAATATATTTTAATGAGGTCTTCTGAACAGTGATCAAGAATAGGCAGTATACTTTAATGAAGTCTTCGAACAATGATCAAGAATGAACAATATACCTTGATGAACTTCTGAGCAATGATCAAGATTGGACAATACACTTCAATGAAGTCCTCTGAACAATGATCAAGAATGAACAACAAACTTTGATGAGATTGAAAAACACGTGTCTTCTATTCTCCTAAAGGCTATCTCTACCAAGAATGCAAACACTAAACACTATTGATGAGTGGTGCATCCATCAACCTAACGCCTGTTTCCATGGAAGAGTCAATATTATAACCTTTTCAAAAACATTATTCGTGGACATTTTCCTGCTAAGATCATGACTGGTCAAACAATCGCAATGATGATAAAACCACGCCACTATCGAACGCCCAAATTTCAACATTATTTAATTCAAAATTCTTCGTAAAAAAACATGGAATTTCTTTGACGTGAAAATACAAAACCTAAAAATCCTAATTTTCCGACTGGCTGTCGATATTTCCGATTTAATGCCGTAGACGACATGCACAATTGCAAGACATGGCCAATCTTGCTTCTGTGCTTGCCGTCGTCGACATAAAAGCGGGGATGTTTGTCAGTTAGCCTGAAAATTGGATACGATGGTTTCACCATCAACGTTCTGAATTTTTCAAAAAATTGTTTTGGGCCTTTTTTGTGGCTGTCCTTGCTCAGCATCCGATCACTTCATCTTCATAGTTGGCAAATGATTCGTCGTTAGTCGTAGTCTTTCGTCAAACTGCCGAGGATTCGTCGAAAACCGTGAGTGTAATAATAATAAACCTTTTACTTAGTTAGGCCTGTTAACAGGTCAAATCTCTAATATATTTTGTACAGTAGCCACAACAAATCCTGGTGTTCAGTATATTCCACATGAGGCTATTTTTAATAATGCAATTTCAAGAAACATCTAAAGAAATTAACATCTGCATTTTCAAAATAGTCTTGATTAAGAGGTGCTAAAAATGTTCTTTCAGTTGAAATAATCTAATTGTGTTTTTTGGTGCTGCATTAATTATATTAAAAATTTGTATATTATTAATCATGTAGTTGTATCAAATGTGTTAAGTCTGTGACTGACGTGCAATTGTGTTTGTTCTATATATTTTACCTTCGAAAACCTCTGTGTGAATATACTGATTTGGAGCTACGCATGATCGCAGCGGTTGTTGCCTCGCAGAAGAATAGACAGTACCATTTAGCTTAGAATGGAAATGCAAGTGAAGTTTGGCCAAAGGAAGGCAACTTCAACTTGGGGTTAGTGGGTACAAATGGTACCTTAGCGTAGAGGATGCAAATAGCATCTGTAAGAAGACCTTTGAAGACTGGATCAAGCGAGCAAGACCTATTGAAGACAAAGGAAAGATGATGGTTTAGCTGAAAAGACAATATATCTCTCCCCTAGTACGGTAAAGCATGCAGTCGTTGTAGTTGGCCACTTTCATGAACGGCTTTCTACAGTGACTATTAAGGCACCCTGGATCCCCTATAATGCATGAGTAGTTCAACCCACCCCGGTTGGAGGTCACCCGTAGGTGCAAAATGCACTAGGTTAGGTTAAGTTAAGGGCATGATGGGTTACCTCCTTCAAGGGGCATTCCTTTTCAGGGCGGAATTCCGGTGGCGCGCAGGCAGGAAGAGATAGCGCATGCCGGTAGTTGCGGGTAGTTGCTACGCTCGGTAACGAACGTGAGGTTTGTACCTTCGGATGAACCTCACTATCAAGATAAATGAGTGAATTTTAAATGTTTGAAAGAAACTTCATCTTTTCTGTTCAACTAAATAAACAAATACCAAAAAGTATTTAATGTTAAGACATTTACAGGTAGGGGCGGCGTGGCGTTACTGCCGTGGGGATGATGTTGTTTTCTTATGAAGAAAACCACTGGAATTTGATGCGCGCCACAGCGAAAAGTGAGCCAAAATAAATTAGTACACCAGGTCTAAGTATGTGCATGCCTTCATAATAACCTAAAAGAAAACACGGTTTTAATTTAAAGTACATTGTTTTGCTTTTTTATATAATGGTTACTATGAAGACAAACCGTGATGCATCGCTATTTAACTAAAAGTTACACTGCATTTCCATGTTCACCAGTCGCGTTTCTGAAAGTCATGTGATAATCAGCAAAATATATTTAAATAAAGCGTTGCCTGTTGTTTGTTAAACTATCACCACTTATTTGATAACCAAACTTTAACGTGCTTCTTCAAGTGGTTTCAAAAACAATGAATTTCGTCTGATCTAAAACTAACTTGAGCATTACATAAACTAATCCATGTCATACGCCAGCGCTTGTCTCAATTTTAGGCGTTAGTGGCACGGGCGCGCAAACACTGAATTGTAAATAGGCGCTTAATGGCGCTAGGTGCGACTGACTCGGATGTGGATTGGATAAGAAAACACACGTTTTATGAAATTCATCATTTACACAATTTTCTC